ATCTTATTGTAAATTTTTATACCTATTCCCATAAAAGACCTATTAACTTTTTCTAAACGATACTTGGGGACAGCAAGTTTGTCTTTAAATCTTGTATTAATATTATGAATATTGCTGTTTTTTGGAAATAAGTCAAGATTTTTATGAACATATAGGATATTTGAATATATAAATTGAGAAGCAACGGTGAGAATATTTGCCTCTTTAAATTTCTCTCTTAATGAGTCACGACTCTTCATACAGTAGATCGCTCGAACGGCACGTTTTTGTAATATGAATATATTTTTAATATCTGCCGCTTTTCCCCATAGTAATATTCCATAAGAGAGTAAACTATGAAAATAACTAAAATAGACTAATCTAGCAGTATCAGTATCAGTGTACTGTCTAACCTTACGCACGGCAAAAGCTGCTGAACTTAGTTTCGCTGCAAGGCTTTGAATTTGTGCACCCCATTGTGTTTTATTATCTAGTGTGATTCCTAGAAAGACAGTAGATTCTATAAATTCCAGAGATTCGTCATTTAATTTAATATTGCAATTAAATTAAATGACGAATCTCGTAGACGAATAAGTAGTTACCTAATTTTATTAAATTATCCAACTGATCAGAATATTCATGTATTTCATTCTTAGCTGATTCGTATTTCAAAGATAAATTGGACAACGAGTTCTCTAATAGTTTAATTTTTTGTGATAATTCATCTATTTCTAAATCTTTGTTATATATTTTTTCTTTACAATTATTTAATTCTATTGATAAGTCAATTTTTTGCTTCCTAGTAATAATTGATTTTAAACACTTTTTATGACTTTTCACTAAATTTTCTGATTTTCGAATAAATTTATTTAATTTTACATATTTTTTTAACTTATTACTACTATTAATAGGTACTTTATTAGGACTATAGGAGCTTGGTGTATTTGTCAAATCTATGGTCACAAGGGGCAGAGCAGATGTTTGATCACTAGTAGTATTTAACATTTCTGTATACAGATCCATGGTCTCGTTATAACTACTCAACCGCCTGCGATCCAACAAAGATTTATTTTGTGATTGAACTTCCTCAAGGTGCCGCTCTAGATGAGTGATTTTCTGCAATGCTGACTCATATGTGTCTCTGCACAGATCATATTTATTTACAATTTCTATTATAATAAATATTCATCTTATCATCCTCCACTGGTGCCCCGCTAGCGTAAACTGTTAGCGCAGGCGGGTGCACCATTCCATTATCATACGAAATATAAAAAAAATGACATGAACGTGTAGGTTATACTCTGGCAATGAAACTTTAGTATAAACAATGTTATTATATTGGGGGGAAATGGATTGTTAGTAATGTATCATGTTGGATCGACCTCCACGCGGTGTCCCTGGAAATTATCGTGGTAAATTGCCATTTGTCAAGGTGGCACCATTTCATAATCATCCATAAAAAAAAATATATATTCGCATATCAAATTCTCATTAAAAAATTATATAAGTAAAGTAATACAATAAAATATAATTTTATTTATTACTGTATGGTATATACTGGTAATACAATATACAATTATTTAATACTAGCTGTACCCTCGGTTTCACGCCGCGACGTGTAGCTAATCTTTACATAATATAAAACAAAGTCACTGTCGCTGTCTGTCACTATGTATGCTTAAATCTTTAAAACTACGTAATGGATTTTGAAGCGGTTTTTTTAATAGATAGAGTGATTCTAGAGGAAGGTTTATATGTATAATACATGTACAGCCGGGTGAAGCCAGGGCGAGTAGCTAGTAACATAGTATAAAACAAAGTCGCTGTCGCTGTCTGTCACTATGTATGCTTAAATCTTTAAAACTACGTAATGGATTTTGTAGGGTTTTTTTAATAGATAGAGTGATTCAAGAGGAAGGTTTATATGTATAATACATGTACACCCGTACGAAGCCGGGGCGAGTAGCTAGTTGCATAGTATAAATACAAAGTCGCTGTCGCTGTCTGTCACTATGTATGCTTAAATCTTTAAAACTACGTAATGGATTTTGTAGCGGTTTTTTTAATAGATAGAGTGATTTTAGAGGAAGGTTTATATGTATAATACATGTACACCCGGGTGAAGCCAGGGCGAGTAGCTAGTAACATAGTATAATACAAAGTCGCTGTCGCTGTCTGTCTCTATGTATGCTTAAATTTTTAAAACTACGCAACGGATTTTGTAGCAGTTTTTTTAATAGATGCAGTGATTCAAGAGGAAGGTTTATATATATAATACATGTACACCCATGCGGAGCCAGGGCGAGTAGCTAGTTATTAATAAACTAAAATGACAATTCTGGAATCGAACCCGTACTAGCTAGGTACGGGTGGTCATGCATGTCGACGAGTTATATTTTTTAAACAATAACGCGCTACAGTGGGACAGGCCCACCCGTGCATTCAGCTATACCCATAAAACTTGGCCCATAGTTTTAATGTTGTCTCGGTGAATTATGTTTTAGGGTTCCGTAATATAAATCTTAATAATAAAAACGCGAAAGTTTGAAAGTATGGATGGATATTTGTTGCTCTTTCACACAAAAACTACTGAACGGATTTTGATGAAACTTTACAGTAATATAGCTTATGCACCAGAATAACACATGGGTTAATTTTTTATTGAAATTTAACGCGGGTGCAACCGCGGGTTTTGCTAGTAACATTATAAATGCGAAAGTTTGTGAGTATGGATGTTTGTTACTCTTTCACACAAAAATTATTGAACGGATTTTGATGAAACTTAATACTAGTATAGCTTATACATCAGAATAACACATAGGGTATAATTTTATAAGATATTATGTAAATTGGGCGAAATATAATGATAAATGTTGTGAAAGTGTGATGCAGACGAAGATGCGTGGGTCAGCTAGTACCAAATGCAGAAGAAACAGATATCGACACGTATCCTTCTTTGTATCACATTATATCTTCGCTAAAATTGATTTTTGATGATTCTTTTCACTATTGTAAGCGTATAATGAGCACCTTGATTTTTGTATTTGTGCATTGAAGTTTTAATCTATACATATAAATAAAATTGCAGTGTATGTTTGCAACATTGAAATACTACATGCATATGAATGTATATACGGTACATTCATATGTTATATAACATTCTGCATAATAACATCTACGTAGTTAGATAAGATATAAAAATTGTTAACTTGCTAACCTCTTAATTTTAAAGTCGGTTGATTGAAAAGAACATACAAACTCAAAAATAAGATATACTATTACGAAATTAATGAAACAAATTATATATATCTTTATTTATAACAATATCATAAACGGAAACAAAAAAAGGGCCGTTTCAACGATAACATTTGAGGATTGAACCCGGGACTTCTGCATCATTGGAGCAGAACAGATGTGCTGATGGGATACACAGATAAACAGATTAACAACTTTGTTATATTATATCATCGTTATCTTTCATTTACAATGAAATATAATAGAAACAACTGATCTACACCAGTCAACACGTTAGTGGGTTAGAATCCCGGCGGCAACAAAAAAAATGTAATTTAAATTTCGGCTTATATGAGATTCACATGAATATCAAATAATTTATATTAATAACAAGCCTTGACAATTCATACAACGCCATCTAGTCCCAAGCTAAGTAGAACTTTTGATATATTCTAGACAACTGATAAAGATACTTAAATATATATATTTAATACATAATAAACACCCAAACCAATACCAACAATTATACTCATAAATACAAATGTTTGCATCGCGCAAGGAATCGAATCTGTGATCATCATAAGACAGTGTGCTAAACCGCTAGACCACCCAGGTCGTCGAACATACTCGAATACTTTACTAAAGAAGCGTTCGATTTTTCCTTCCCCCAATTCTTCGTGAATTCATCACGATGGGCTGACCTGACCTCATGCTCATCTTATCATCCTCCACTGGTGCCCCGCCAGCGTATACCGTTAGCGCAGGCTGGTGCACCATTACATTATCTTAATAATATCATAAACACGAACGTATGTGAGTTGAGATGTTTGTTACTCTTTCACGCAAAAACTAGTGAACAGATTTTGATAAAACTTTACAGTAATATAGCTTATACATCAGAATAACATATAGGCTATAAATTTCGGGTGAAACCGCGGGCGCAGCTAGTCATTAATAAAAAAAACAGCCGGCAAGGTTGGTCATTTGTTTAGTATGGTTTTAATTTTGTACGGAACACTGCGTGAACTTTCAAACGCGCTGTCTTGACGTGGGTTGTAACTTTAGCTGTATTGGAGTGTACGAGTACATGTCATAAGGACCGAAGTGCCACCGCGATATTCGATATTGTGACAAACGGTCAAATAGTCAATATATTTTATTATTATGTTTGGTGATAAATAAATTATCAATAATAATAATCTCAGGACAATTCACACAGCGCCATCTAGGCCCAAGTTAAGCTAACTAAAGCTTGTGTTATGGGTACTAGATACAAATACATAGATTTTTTTTGTAAATACATATATATTTACATAGAAAACACCCGGACCGATACATACGATCATACCTATGAATAGAAATGTCTGTGCTGTGCGAGGAACCCGCGACCATAGGAAGTAAGGCGGTGTGCTAAACCACTAGACCACCGAGGCCGGAAATCAATCTAATCTTATAATACAAAATTTTTGTATCACAATATTAGTTACCATATTGCTCCGAAATGACTTGACCGATTTTTATAAAATTCTATATTCAGTAGGTCTGAGAATCGGCTACTATCTATTTTTCTTACCCTTGAGTGATAAGGATTGTCCACCCCTAATGCTTATTTTTTATTTTTTGACAATACATACAATCCTAATTTTTCAATCTTGTATCATAAACTCCTATTTTTTAATAGCGATTTAATTTATATGGCATAACGACGTTATAACAGCGCAGTCTGACAGTAGGTATACATATTACGAAAAAACTAATATAAGTAATAAAATTTAATAGAAACTCACCTATCTTTGTGTTCTGCTTGTCTGTCCCTTTGTCTTCTGTTTTTGAACCAATTTGAAACCTGTCGAAGAACATCTCTGTTAATTAAATATCTTATTTAGTATACCAATAGTAGATTTTGTGTAAAATCTTACAATGTAATGATAGATGTAAAATCATACTGATATATACAAATTTTGGTACCGCGCCAGGAATCGAACTCGCGATCATCGGAAGTGAAGCGGTGTACTAAACCGCTAGACCACCGAGGTCGTCGATAATCGTGTTGTATAACTAGTGTGGCCATATATCCGGACTTTATAAGAGATGAATACTGGATCTCATCTAGCCCAGACCTCAAACTTTTAGACTCCAAATTAGGGTCAGTTTAAGATGATATGGCCTGCTTTAAACGACAGCGAACGACATTGAGTCTCTTTGGAAATCTTTGGAGCAAGCAGTGGCGAAATTCCCCTTGGAAAGATTCGAGGTCATACCTATTAATGGCCTATATAAAAGCCAAAGGTGATCATTTCGAATAGAAATTTCTTTTTGCTGAGAATTATGTTGTTGTGATAAATATGTAGATTTACATTTTAATAATATTAAATTAGTTCATTAAAAAAAAAATCATTTGTAACAGAACTTTTGGCTGAAATAGGTATATAATATATTGTTTAACACGTTATAAAAAGTAAAAAGGTATTTAGAATACATTAAAACAATTAAGATTAAAATAAATGTATATGTCCACAGAAGTGTTTTATATTTTCCCGCGCAAAACGTAATGCGCCACAGATACACAATGTTGCGCGGCGCAGTAGGATGACGAGTGAGTCATAGCTGTATGCGATGTTATGTTTATACTATAGTCTGTTATTTAATAATAGTGACAGATTTGTTTTTTTTTTAATAATGCTTTATTCATAACCATTGATACTAGTTCTTCAGTCGAATACATTTTTGTATATGGTACATAACAAAAATTTTTTAAAGTAACTATAAGCTTACACAGTACAATTTTACAATTGCAGTAATCATTGATTAATATTTATTTTTTCCACAGTATATACAATGTAATTATATATTGGAAAAAAATATTCAAAGTATAGTAAATCTTGAACGTGGCTGGGAATGCTTTGTGACAGTAACAAATTTGACATTACCTATGTTGCCAATTTTTTACAATTTTTAAATAGGGTTGTGGCACTATCAAAAATTAATATTAATTACCTATTTTTATAAGTTACTTAGACAATGCATTAACACTAATTTAATAAAGTATATGTATTAATAAATATAGGGTTGTCGTATCAAAATATTTTTTTTTTAATTGACAGACTAAAAGAAAGACTAACAACTGTTTTTTATAAAAATGACCTTCATATGGTGTCATATTACATAAAACACATTTATTTAAAATATTAAACTGTTTGAAAGAAAACAATTGTTGGTTCGTAGCTAAATACTATAAAACTGATTGTGTACGGAATCTACATAATACCGTCTTTACCATAAGGGCACACGGGGCCCGTGGCCAGGGCCCTCATTCTCTGGGAGCCCCCGAAGGACTGACAATTTTTGTCACACATATATTTGCAAAAGATTTTTGTCGGGCAGAGTGTTTTCAATATTTCTGTTCATTAAAGGTCTATCTTGATCCACCGTGACCACACTTTTACACACACACACGACACCGTCCTCGCCGGCGAAGACGACGACCTCAAACACACATTATCGCGCATTCAACCGGGCGCCTCACACACCGGCGCCCCCGGGCGCCCCTCTGATCGATCCCCCGTCCAATTCAAACGGGGATCGAAATTACGACGGCCTGAGCCGAGGTTCGAACCCCTAGTGGTGCCCTCAGACTAATGTCGTATCCGTCAGGCAGGAGTTGGCCTTCAGCCGCTCCATAAGTCCTTCCGCGGGTTTGGAGTGCCATCTGCACTCGTCCCCTAACGTCCGGTGAAGCTGTAAAGGCTGCGGCCTACAGCTATAGAGTAGTCCGAAAAAAAAAAGGGGCCATCTTGAGGAGTCATGCACAGCAGACATCAAGTTAGTGACCATTCTACTACAGATAAGCGTCGCCGGAGCAAATCTTGCGGTGACTGCAACTCTACACCACTCAACGTCGCCTCAATTCTAATATTATATTTCAGTACAACCCACGGTCGGACAATTTGTACATTTATATAGATACACTAACTGCATCCGCGACTTCATCCGCGTGGAATTTAACTTTATTTTCTAAAATAAAATAGCCTAAGTTACTCCTTATTACATCAGCTACCTGCCAATAAAAGACCCGTCAAAATCGGTCCAGCAATTTCAGATATTAGCCGGAACAAACACACTGACAGACAAACAGACAATAATTGTAAAAAATGTTATTTTGGTGTATGTACCGTATTTATATTTATATGCATGTAGTAAAAATAGGTTATTTCATTATTACAAACAGACACTACAATTTTACTTATATGTATAGATTATACTAGCTGTGCCCGCGTGAAATTTATAGCCGATCTTATTCTGATGTATAAACTATATTACTGTAAAGTTACATAAAAATCCGTCCAGTGGTTTTTGCGTGTAAGAGTAAAAACATCCATCCATACTCACAAACTTTTGCGTTCATAATATTAATAATAAATTTACCAGGAATTTATCGCAATGGTTTTTAAGTGCTGATTAATTAAAATGATTGTAAATGGTATTTTTGGGTGTTTTCTATGTAATACATAATTTTATGAATGATAATGGAATTGTGTCCATTCTGCGTTGACGGTTGACGTTGCCGGGGCACCAGGGAGGGATAGGATGAGCATAAGGTCAGGTTTTTTTTAATGTATGGAATTAAAATGGTATGGTGTACCCGCCTGCGCTAACGGTTTACGCTGGCGGGGCACCAGTGGAAGATGATAAGATGAGCATGAAGTCATCTTAGTTAGCCCATCGTGACAAATTCACCAAGAATTTATCACGATGGTTTCCAGGGGGAACCGCGTGGAGGTCAACCTGACATGGTACTTTGTTAGCAATAAGATCATCAATCCACATTACTAACAATCTCCTTCCCCCTAATAAGGTCAGGTCAGTTGGCCCATCGTGACAATTTATCACGATGGTTGGCACCGCGTGGAGGTCAACCTGACATAACACATTGCTAGCGATGGGGTTATAGGGTCATAGTAGTTGTTGCTGGCAGATTGTCTATCGCATTCTTTTTGCAAACTTTCTATTTTTTTAAATTTTTTTCATATGTCTTTTGACTATTGTTACTTCTTTGCTATGTGCCCTTTTGGGAAATATACCAGGGATGTTATGGATATGAAATTTCGGATGCGGATGAGTTACGGATACAGGAATGATTATTATACCGGATACGGATACGGATGCGGATATGAAATTATTGCGAATTATCCGTTAGTTTGGATAATTTCGGTTACGGATATGATTTTTTTAAAGAATTTCAAAAGTAACATACAAATAGCTAATAAAATTGTATTTCAACATTTGATAGTTTATATGTCAACATTTGGTAGGATTTGCAATCAGTCTCAATTAGGCTCCACCCCTATCCGATATTATCCGAAACTTTTATTTCGGATATGGTTACGGTTACGAATATTTCTTTATATCGGATGTCGGATAGTTTCGGTTACGGATATTAATTTTTGAATATCAAAAGTAAAATACAGATAGCTCATAAAATGGTTACATATCGTGTCTCTATTAGGCTCCGCCCTTATCCGATATTATCCGAAACTTTTATTTCGGATACGGTTACGGTTACGAATGTTTTTTTGTATCGGATATCCAGTTTCGGTTACGGTTACGAATATTTTTTTATATCGGATATCCGATAGTTTCGGTTACGGTTACGAATATTTTTTTATATCGGATATCCGATAGTTTCGGTTACGGTTACGAATATTTTTTTATATCGGATATCCGATAGTTTCGGTTACGGTTACGAATATTTTTTTATATCGGATATCCGATAGTTTCGGTTACGGTTACGAATATTTTTTTATATCGGATATCCGATAGTTTCGGTTACGGTTACGAATATTTTTTTATATCGGATATCCGATAGTTTCGGTTACGGTTACGCATATTTTCTTATATCGGATATCCGATAGTTTCGGTTACGGTTACGAATATTTTTTTATATCGGATATCCGATAGTTTCGGTTACGGTTACGAATATTTTTTTATATCGGATATCCGATAGTTTCGGTTACGGTTACGCATATTTTCTTATATCGGATATCCGATAGTTTCGGTTACGGTTACGCATATTTTCTTATATCGGATATCCGATAGTTTCGGTTACGGTTACGGAGCTCCCGAACATCCCTGAAATATACACATTTATAACTACTATTCTGCTTTTCAATAAAATATTTGTTGTGTTCCCACTCCAGTCGCAGTAATATTAATCCACATTACTGGGGGGAAGGGGATTGTTAGTAATGTGGACTCAGGACCCCATTACTAGCAGTGTACCATGTCAGGTCGACCTCCACGCGGTTCCCCCTGGAAACCATCGTGATAAATTCCTGGTGAATTTACTACAATGGGCAAACTGACCTGACCTCATGTTCATCTTATCATCCTCCACTGGTGCCCCGCCAGCGTAAACCGTTAGCGCAGGCGGGTGCACCATTTCATTATCATCCATAAAAAAAATCCACATTACTAACAATCCCTTTTTCCCCCTGGTAATATTGTGTATAGAGTTTCTAGTTGTTCATTAATTTAATTTAATCACTTTTTTACCTGTACAGTGGTAAGTCCGGTTGTTTCGGCCAGTTCCCGCTTCTCTCTCGGTGACGGGTATGGATTGTGAAGGTACCAGTCCCGGAGAACTGATCTGGACTTCTCCTAGGAAAATATAACGATATACATTAATTTCATACTATTAATCTATACATCTATACATATAAAATTGGAGTGTCTGTTTGTAATATTGAAATAACCATTTTTTACTACATGCATATGAATATAAATACGGTACATACCCCAAAACAACATTTTTTACAATTTTTGTCTGTCTATCTGTCGGTCTGTGAGTTACGGATAATCTCTGAAATGGCTGGACCGATTTTAACGGTACTTTTTTTGGCAGGTAGCTGATGTAATAAGGAGTAACTTAGACTACTTTTATTTTAGAAAAATAAAGTTAAATTCTAAATTAAATTAAATTCTACGCGGACTAAGTTGCGGGAACAGCTAGTAAACAATAAAAATTTACAGTATCATACTATATATACATAACTTAAAAAATATAATATAATAACTGCGTGAGATGGTACTTGACATAAAACCCGTTTCAGTATCTTCTTCATCTTCTCTCTCGTTACTGCTCAAATCCTCAAATATCTAAATTGATAATTAGAGCCGAGACGAATGAATCCGTATAATCGTAATAGAGATTCTACTGTATAAAATTTTATCAAAATCGGTCAAGCCAAGCCGTTTCGGAGAAGTATAAATACGAAACCTATGACACGAGAATTATATATATTACATGGGTTCATCGCCCAATTCTTAATTACCTTGAAACAGTAAGAAGTTTCTTCTCCGTCCCATATCGTTCTAGGCAGAGGGAATTTACGTCGCACCCTGTACTTCCCGACGGCACCCAGAGGTCTCCCTCGTAATCTTTCTGCTTCCATATAATGAGCTGATAACATACAAGGTGTTAGGTTTCTTCTGCAGATTTTGCCAAGCTGAAGAGGAAACGCCACTAGACATCCTATGTGGTTGTAGCCCACTCATGCATAAACGTAATATCTCCTTTGAAAAGTACACACTCTATCCTGAGGAGATAAAAACCATCGCTCCTAAGAATATCATATTTTGTATAAAACGTGGTAGTGTAAAAATTTTTGAATTTAATTCAACGAAATTTTGTTCATAAGCAACTGATATCAACGTTTTTGACTAGTCATATTTTCTTTAAATGCGATTATTTTAGTAAATATCTTTAGCTCATTCTTATGAACAATGCAAGACAGTATAATATTAAAAAAAAATGTACAAGACATTAAATAATAACCCTGGATAATTAACACAGCGCCATCTAGTTCCATAGTTCCACGGTAAGCAGTCCGATCGATCCCCTATCCAATTCAAACGGGGATCGAAATTACGACGGCCTGAGCTGAGGTTCGAACCCCTAGCGGTGCCTTCAGACTAAAGTCGTATCTTTCAGCCGCTCCACAGGTCCTTCCGCGAGTTTGGAGTGCCATCTGCACTCGCCCCTAACGTCCGGTGAAGCTGTAAAGGCCAGCTGCGGCCAACAGCATTACAGTAGTCCGAAAAAAAAAATAAAAAAAAACGGTAAGCAGAGCTTGTGTTATGGGTACCAGACAACTAAATAATAATAGACTACAACTAGATATAAATACTTAGATATTTTTTTGTAAATATATACATAATATACATAAAAAACACCCAGACCGATACAAACAATCATACTCATGAATACAAATGTTTGTGCCGTGCGAGGAATCGAACCCGCGTCCATTTGTTAAGCTGTTTGTTAAACCGCTAGACCACCGAGGCCATCTTCTTTAGATAATTCTTATGACAATATTTATTTAAAAGAGCAACACAAGTTTCTTGCTCATTCTTCTTGTGATGAGTCTGCATGCCGAGTGAGCGGTAGAATAAAAAAATGTGACTATTCAAAAGTGCTTATATTAAGTTTATTTGAATAAAGATTATTTCTATTTCTATGAATAATGCAAGACAGTACAATATTTTAAAAAATGTACTGAATATATGTAAAAATACTATATATATATTAAAATACCTTTAAGCCATAAATTCTGTAATTTCGCATGGTTGTGCGCGCTAAATGTATGAGATTCGAGAAGTCTGTACAATTCCTTGAAGTTCCCTCTGTGGAATGCCACCATTGCTTTTGCTTTTAACACTGACTCGTGCGCGTGTAACCTCTCGCACGCCGGCAGAGACCAGAGGAACCTGCCCAGCCTGTCGATGTTGCCCGCTTGTTGGAGTACCTGAGAATTGGGAGAAAATAAACTATTTGTAATCGGTTTGCTTCATTGATCCGGCTCGAAGGACCATAAATATTTATCGTTACAGAGAATTGGGAGAAAACAATTTTTTTATATTCGGTTCGCTTCATTATCCCGGCTCGTAGGACCACAAATATTTATAATTACGGGGAATTGGGAGAAAACTAACATTTTGTAATGGGATTACTTCGTCAAACCGGCTCGATGGACCATAAATATTAATGATTACGGAGAATTGGGAGAAAACAAACTTTTTATAATCGATTTGCTTCATTAATCCGGCTCGTAGGACCATAAATATTTATAATTACGGGGAATTGGGAGAAAACAAACATTGTATAATCGGTTTTCTTCGCCAATCCGGCTCGAAGGACCATAAATATTTATCTACATTTATCTTTACATTTTCAAGCTTTTTGTAATGGATTTGCTTCATTAATCCGTCTCGAAGGACCATACATATTCATAATTACATAGTATAAAACAAAATCGTCGCCGCTGTCTGTTCGCTTATTTCTCTTAAACTACGCAACGGATTATAACGCAGTTTTGAGCAATTGATAAGAGTGATTCAAGAGGAAGATTTATATGTACGTATAATACAGGTGTGTTGTAGTCTAGTACAAGCCCAGAATATATGGACATAACAAAATTACTCTAAATTCCCTCGATGGCCACGGTGGTCTAGCGGTTTCGCACACCGCTCTGCTTCCGGGTTTCCCGGGTTGGATTCCTCGCACAGTTCAAAAATTTGTATTCATGATTATGATTGTCTGTATCAGGTCTGGATGTTTTCTATGTATATTATGTATGTATGTATTTACAAAAAAAAATAAGCTTTTATATAAGTTATCTAGTACCCATAACACAAGCTCTGATTACCGTGGAACTAGATGGCGCTGTGTTATTTGTCCAGGGTTATTTATTTATTTATTATTTATTTCTTACTTATCATTATCATTACATAGTATAAAACAAAGTCGCTGTCTGTCCGTCCCTATGTATGCTTAAATCTTTAAAACTTCACAACGGATTTTGAAGCGTTTTTTTTAAATAGATAGAGTGATTCTAGAGGAAGGTTTACATATAAAACACATTTACAGGGCGAAGCCGGGGCGAGTAGCTAGTATATTACATATTTATTTCCGTCGCCAGACAGACTTATTTAGCAATGCAATATTCATACATCTGTATGAAATCTCCGTGCTAATAGGGTGGTCGCAAATACAAGATATTTACACAGGATCGCCACATGTCCCTGTTGTCTATATCCAAATTTTTTGCACCCTAAATCAATAAACGAGTGCGGTTGAATAAACATACGCATATTAAAAATAATTCTCATTAATTCTACCAACGATTAGTGGAAAGAATATTATATTATCTGTGGTGGGAATGAATGATTGGCCTGTCACATTCAAATAGAAATTACTATGCACTGAACTGAGGTTCGAAATAATATAAAAAAAGAACATAATTAAATAAATATTTTGTACGCTTAACATAAGCAGATTTTGTAAGGGCCATTTCTTCTTTAATATCCTGTACTGTACTAATAATCGATCACAAATGAATCAATTTATTATTATTAAACTTTATTAAACTTCTGCTGGTTTGTTATTATTAATAATAATAAATTGATTTATTTGTGATCTATTTATTATTTACAATTTATTATTAATTATCTTTTTTTACAGCTTCTGCTGGTTTATTATTATTATTTAAGAGGAAATACAAATCTTTTTATTAATATATGTATGTATGAGTATGGATGGATGTTTGTTTTTCAAGCAAAAACTACTGAACGGATTTTGATGATACTTTACATTACAGTAATATAGATTATACATCAGAATAACATATAGGCTATAAATTTCACCCGGGTGAAACCGTGAGCACAACTAGTAGACTAATACATACGTTTTTATCTGTTTAGCATCCATTTAAGGCGAGTTTTATTTATTGTTGCAGACAGCCTCGGTGGTCTAGAGATTTAGCACACCGCTTTACTCTCCGATGGGCGTGGGTTCGATTCCTCGCACGGTACAAACATTTGTATTCATGAGTATGATTGTTTGTATCGGTCTGGGTAATTTCTATGTATAATATGTATTTATTTACAAAAAATATATATATCCATGCATTTACATCAGTTGTCTAGTACCCATAACACAACCTCTGCTTAGCTTGGGACTAGATGGCGCTGTGTGAATTGTCCTGAGATATTATTATTATTTTTATACAAAAATTCTCATCTTCCCTCTTAAGGAGAGGAGATGGCAACTTACCCCCGGCAGAAGCACAGTCGGCCGGGGTTCAGGGCCCCAGGGAGAGAAACCGGCGTACAATGCGGGCAGAATCTAAGAGCACCGCTTTCTGCATCTTTCCCGGGAGTGAGCCGCCTCGGAATCCCAACCGTCTGAGATGTTGTTCCAGACTGGTTGGGATAAGACCGTTCACCGACATAACGATTGGAATGATTTCGGTGGACATCACCCCCCACATTTCAGTCACCTCGTGAGCCAGGTCGAGATATTTTCTCTTTTTCTCAGTTTTAGTTATTATTATTATTATTGTAAAACAGTATACATATATTTTACATATTTATTTATCAAGTATTATTTTATATTATTTTAACAAATAATTTCAAGTAGTATAGTGCACATTAACAAATTCATATATGTATCTCTAACCCCTTAATTACACCACGGGGTGTATTTAGCCCATTAGGTGAGGTGAGGGTTGATTTGGCGAAGATAATGGCATGGGGAATTGCCGGTTACCAACACATTATAATAATAGTATTATTATGCATTATCTATATTAATAAATTCGTCAAGGGGTACGGTAGACTCGAACGAAACCTTATGTGAATAACAAAACAAAAAAATATTGATTTCGAGTCGACAACATATATCCGCAAAATTCGAATTATGGAGTATTTCGTTAAATACTAATGTCACTGACAAACAAACCGCAGTCGCCATCTTTTCATTTCACTAGCATTTTCTTTGGTCGTTGACGTTTCGCGAAAATATTGTTTTTGACACTTTTTTATGATAAAAGAGTATGTGTTTTTTCTTTAAACCTGAAATTGGCCGATTGCGAGACAAATTTGGCAATTTTTTTTTTATTACTTTGTTTTACGGCTCTGGATACAAGTTTTTTTTAGCCCAACTTAAAATTTACAAAAAAATAAAAATTATTTGTATAAAAACTTTTGCACTTTTTATTTACTATATTTATTAAACACAATGAACGAAGCTTTACAAATCTATGCCTTGCTTACTTGTAATATTCCATGAGAACCGATGACTACAGAAATATCTACCCACATTTCACCTGAGCGAAGCCGGGTTTTCATCTAGTACTTTCATATTAACATCCACTAGCTATTACCCGCGACTTTGTCCGCGTGAAATTAAAATAAATGAGCATATTTCATTATTGTTGTATGTGTGAGAGTCAATATTCATCAATTCTATCCATAGTTTTTTTTTAATTCATAATAATGTATTTTTTATAGTTAATTTACCTGATATCAGCGTCACCTGCGTTAAATTAACTTTTTTTTAATTAATATAATTCAAAATTAAAAACTACAAGTTGCGTAAATTACTCTTTATAAAATTAGTTACAAACATACAGCGTGAAAGTACCGTCAAAAACGCGTGGAGGCTTTTTTTTATTAAATTAAATTTATAGAATAGAATAAAAATTTCTGTAAAAACGTGTATATATTTATGTGTATAGATGTATATAGGTAGGTAAGTATTAAGAAAACTGAGCTAAATCTTGCCAACAAATTGTTCTGCAGTTTTCCGAGTCAATACGTAAAAATAAATGTACAAATCTTTATTAAAACATATAAATAAAAAAAACACACTTCTCTATTGTTATTACAGTTTATGTTATAAAAATGGGGAAGTGGGAATTTTTTTAAATTATATTTTTTACCATATAACAAAACAGTTTTTATTACCAACTCGTAGTTCATAATTCAATTGTAAGCCATGTTTATAAATCATCCACGGCACAGAGTAATGAAGTGAGCAATTACTGACGCGTACAGATCAAGCACCTAGTATAGAGAACAGAGCACCCCACTGCGTCGCATCCCATTATTTAGCAACCCCGTCCGCAAATTATGGTAACCGATACCTCTAGCCATTAGAGGGTTGATCCAATTCAATTTGTTAGACTTTGCGAATTCTATTTTAGGGTTTCACGCCATTTTCAATTTATACTACATCTATTATACCTAAATTTTCTTACCTTTGTTTTCTATCCAATAGAAATAGAAATAGAAATAATCTTTATTCAAATAAACTTAAAATAAGCACTTTCGAATAGTCAAGTTTTTTTATTCTACCGCTTATTCGAAATGCAGATTCATCACAAGAAGAATAAGCAAAAAACTTGAGTGTTGCTCTTTTAAATAAATATTGATTTACTTATATTTAATTAACAACAAGGATTATGCATGCGACAATCAATATAGAAACCGCTACGCACTTAATCTCTGTTCAATCAGATAACATTGTCAGCGCTATGAATTTTAAGTTAGATATTTTCTACAAAAATATTATAACTCATCTTTTTGTTATTACAGTTTATTTTTACCTATTTTTTCTACTCTATACAATTTATCTAATCACTACGACTGTTTCAATCCTATTGTGTACTTAATATCTGAAGCTAATAGTAATATATGTAGATATCTATATAGATAACTTTTATTAACGTTTATTTTATTTATTATTGTATATCTTAGTATAATTATAATATAATTAGAACTTTATTTAATTTGTTGAATTTTAAATGTTTTATTTTTCTCAACTTTTGGACATTTCAACATAATAGTGTTAATTGCACAGGTGTTACCTACTCACTACTAGCTATGCCTCATTGTTGGGTTGACTGGTAGAGATCTCTCTTAGAGATAAGTCCACCTTTGCTCACTTTGTATATGTTTAAGATTA